AAAAAGCTAATTTGTATCCACGGAGAAACTAGATGATATCTAACCATCCCAAAGTCCTTTTCAGGAAGCAAAAAGAGAAAATATTCAGATATTTGGTGTAAATTATTTAGAAATTAAATAACTTTGTAGCAATATTTGTGTATTATAATAATATCCTTCCCGGTACTTACTCTGTCTCCTGCACTGCAAAAACCATCTAGAAATAAGTAAAACATTTCTTAACATAAGTGCATTTACCCTTAATTTTAGTAGGTAAATAAGACGATTTGCCAATGGAATGAATATTTCTACTCCTAAAATAAGACAATTAGATAATATGCACTTGAAATAAGACAATGCAATTGTGTTTTCTTATTTTAAATGTAAATTGTCTTGTTCCATTGGCAAAATGTCTCTTTTACCTCCTCAATTCAAGAACAAATGCACTTATTTTAAGGAAAAATTACTAATCTAGATTTCGATTTTTTTCCAGTGAAAATTTCGCTGAATGGGTAAGCTGGGCCTTTTTTTTTTTTAGCATAAGCGTCTTGAGAAACGATTGGCTTTCGGGAGGGTGCGCTTGTCTGATTGGTTGAAGCTTGAGCGAGGGACGTCAGCAGGTGCTCAAGGTTAGGTGGATAAAGAGTCTTCAAGGTTGAATTTTCCCTTAAGCTTCATGAACCCTTTTCTACAAAGTGGTGACACAAAGATTTGCACATATGTGTCAGAGAAGGCAAAAAGCTATTTTGTATCCACAGAGAAACTGGATGATATCTAACCATCCCAAAGTCCCAAAGCAAAAAGAGAAAATATTAAGATATTTGGTATAAATTATTTAGAAATTAAATAACTTCGTAGCAATATTTGTGTATTATAATAATATCCTTTCCAGTACTTACTCTGTCTCCTGGTGCTGGATTCAACAGAGAAGACGCATAGTTTGAAGTTTGTTCACTTTAAACCCGGTCCTGACCAGATTCATTTCACTGGGTCAATTTTCACAGTAACCGATTCTGTCTCTGAGAAAGCCAGCTTTATGGTATCCAAATAACAACATTTTTCAGACTTAGCTTGACTTACAAACTAAACCAGTTTTATCAAACATCCCTTAAGACTTTGGAGGAAATAGTTTTGAACTATTTTTTTCTTTTGGATTTGAAAAAATTCTTTAGGTTCCTTTTCATTTTCTTTTGTTCATGTCTTTGTCCTCAGCCATAGACTGCGTCATGTCGGATTGGACTGAGTGGTCCGAGTGCAACAAGTCCTGTGGCAAAGGTCACACTATCCGGACTCGCACTGTTACCATGGAGTCTCAGTTTGGTGGTGACCCCTGCGCTGAAACAATTCAGAGGAAAAAGTGTAAAATTAGAAAATGCAGTCGAGGACAAGGCAACAGTGATGAGAAGAAACGACGGAAGGAGCAGCGTGAAAAACGGAGGAGCAAACAGGGCAGAGTTGAAGGCACCTCTGAGCATCCAGGTTAGCATTTGAGTTTCAGTTGAAAAACTATAGAGGAAATAAAGTTGTATGAAAAACTGTTTCTTTTTTCTTGGCTTTCTATATTTAGGTTGTAGAATGCGGCCCTGGTCTAGCTGGACAGAATGTACAAAACTTTGTGGTGGAGGTATTCAAGAACGACTTATGACAGTAAAGCAGAAGTTCAAGACTGCCCCGTTGTCCAGCTGCAAGGACAGGAAGGAGATCAGAGCTTGCAATGTCCATCCCTGCTAGGATGTATTGATAGGAGGAAGGATGAAGCAGGAAAAGACCTGGACTGAGAAGAAGAAGAAAGCACACTGCCGAAAAAATGACTCAGAGCTCTCTGTTCAGGGTTGAAATGATACATTCTTGAACATGTATGTTGAAAACCAGAAGTAAGATCATCTATTGTTACGACAACATGAACTGATCTTCCTACAAAAAAACAGCAGATTCAACTCTGATGTGCTTCAATTGTCGTGACACATATATTCCTTTTGCAACGTTACTGTAAACTTATTGTGATGTACATGTCTTAAGAAAATTAATTATAAAAATATTTGTTAAAATTGTTGAAAAAAGCTGATTTTGCCAGTGGTATCACTGAATAATTAAGTAGACTTTGAAGCACAAGTACCAAGCTATTTCAGCGATTTATATGCAGTTATAGATGTTCAATGTTTCTAGGACCCGTAAATCTATGTTGATTTTTGTTACCCAGGTTAATGGCTGTTTAAATAGATCAGAACACATATATAATTCATCAGTATCTTTTTGCAGTGTAATGTTCGATTGAGATGTGTCAAGATTTTTACCAAAATCTTGTGAAGATGTTTTTTTTTTTTTTTCTGATGTGTGTTGCCCTTTTCTCTTTAACTCTGTTCCACTATTAAAATGATATTTTTGACTAATGTTACCTTTACAATAAAAGTAAATGTGACAACTTGTTACATGGTTCTGTTCTTTTTTTTTTTTTCATCATGTAATGATCTACAGAAATACAGCCAGTGATTTTTTTTTATCAATGCTTTGCCACCACTAGATGGTGACAAAAGGTTTAAGGTTTTTCCTTAGATAAATTCAAACCCAACCTGCTATGATAATTATGCTCTGAATCTTCATGTAAATATGCAGCAACAGCATGGGCACCGTTTAGTATGTAGTCCCCATAAAAGGTATGAATGTAAAAATTTGATAAACACATTTCACTGTCCAATTTGTTATTTAGCACATGTAGTGCTTTTTTCCTAACATTGAAAGGAGAAACAATATCATTGTAAAAATCATATCTAATATTATGTCTAGACTTAAGTAAATTTGTTTTTTATATCATTAATGCATATATGAATTAAAAATTATTTATATGTGACTCTTAAATGTATTTAATTCATCTAATATCAAAATGCTTAACAAACGTTTCAAAGGTTTTGGTAGTAAATGGTCAAATAAAAAGGCTATTTTAAAAACATTTTCAGTAAAAAACTTGCAAAATGCCTCTTTAAAAAAAGGATGCAAGTTATTAATTAAGTTATAATCAACTTGACCAATAGCTGGTATTTATATGACAAATGGTATGCTTTCAATTGTTTGCCTCCGTCTATTTCTATATAGAAAGCAGTGTTGTCAGTTATGCACTGTAATATAACACATTTGGCAGTAGCAGATTCCATAGCACGTTAGAAACAACCCACGACCAACAGCCTAAATAAAGAGGAGAAAACTTGAGAAGAGGACAGTTATAAAACAAAAGTGGTTTCTTGCTGAGTCGCCTTGCATTGTTCAACCAAATGACAAGGTAAAAACTGATCTTTAATGATGTAGTCCTGTTGTATAAAAGTATAAAAGTGGTTCCTTATAGTTAAATTAACAATAAAAGCATAAAGTCAGTCATGTTTTTTTTGTGGAAATACTACTTTTTTGTCCGAAAACATCTTACTTGTCTTAAAGTAATAACATCTACACATTTACAGTGCTTTACAAATGAATCCTGCTGAGACTATGGACTCAGGGGTCAATAGATATGTGGAAACCTCTTCTTTGAAGAAGAGTAACTGTTAAGTCTTTATTTCCTTTTGAACAAAACTGTAGTATACAGAACTGTCTTTAGACTTAGTTTATTTTGATTTCCCCCACACTTCCCTGCACAGGTTTGTAGTTGTTTTCTTAGGTTGGTTTATACGTAGAAGTTTTTGCAGCTCAATCCTGGAGAAGCTTTATTCTTCTGATGACAGCAAAATGTTGATTTCTCCTTTCCATCCAGATTGCTATTGGTCACGGTGACTCAGAGGGAAACACAGAAAACCTCCACCAGATCACCCATCTGTTCTCATTTATTTTCTAATATTATCAGCCAGGAAATTATAACATAAAATCTGGCAATTAGGAGAAAAGACATAAGACAAAAAGTATGTCAAATGAAATACCATTACCCTGCGTTAGTCAACAGTGTTTGTTTCTTTGAAACGTTAGCCTCATCCAGGACTAAACCCTTAGGAATGAGATTTGTGTTTTTATCTCTCAGATTAGTAAGGACTGGACCTGTAAGTATTATTCTGATCTTGTTATAATATTGGTTATTTGGGAATAGATAAAGCAGTCTATTCCTTTTATATGTATTTTTACTATGGTGGAATCACTACTGTATAAACAGATGTACTTAATATTGTCACATAAAGAGCAACCATTATTCATTCTCTGGCTACTTCTCAATCTTCCCTGCTGGTATGGAGGACTAATCCTGCCATAATTAAAAAAAAAACACAGAAATAAATAAATCCCCCCAAAAAATAAGCATACAATCAATTGCCCCCCAAAATACAATAAACAGATACATGTGGATAGAAATTTAACTATACAGTGAGACATAAATGTATATATCTCTTTTAATTAGCTTCTTTGTTTTTTCGCCTTTGTAATAATTACCTTATTTATTTATTGTCCGTTATAGTATTCAACTTTATTTATTTATTACTTATTTCTTTAACTATAACAATGCTAACGTTATAAGTATTGACTTTATTATTTTTCGTTTGGACTGACAGACCGCGTGTTTCAGTTAGCAGCACACATGGACACAGATGTCGACAATGTAAATTTTCCGCGTAGCTTGAATATCCAATATCCAACTTTAAACCAATTTCACTGTGGTCGTTAGTGACCGGGTTAAGAAGATGGGCTGCTTCCTCCAGATTTAAAACAACTCAAGATTTTTAGGTAGAATATTATTACCTTTACAGTTAATGTGTCTACTTGCAAGCTATATAAGAATACACACTCACCAGTGGTGTTTTTTGGCCATAAAAATTCTTATATTGTCCAGCTGTTTTCATTTTTTTGATTGCTTTTGTTTTTTGTTTACCTTATGTTGTTGTAGCTTCTTCTTTTTAAAGACTCAGCTGTAACTTAATGTTGTAACGTTTGATTTACTAACTCACATGTAACACTTTCTACTCATGCTGAGTTACCTACATGTTGCTCTTTATATTTTCTGACTGTGTTTTCATTCTCTTTTCACTCTAGAGTTGTTGTTAAATGATTACTTTCGGTAGACTTATTTTAATAGACCCGCCTGTAGCGTCTCCTCTGGGTTTTTCCTTAATATTCGTCAGCATTTCACTCTTCAGTTTAATTGCCAAGTTAGTTGGATCACTGGTGGCATTTACTGCTCATGCAGAGTTGTGTGCTCCATTTTTTTTTTAGGTTGATTCCTCTAAACCTGTGTTTTTTCCTATTCTGGTTCTCAATCACACTGCCCAGCATGCATTCTGCAGTTCCACAATGCCTGCTAATCCGCCATTAATTAGTATCTGGGGTGAAAGCTGGGAAACATATAAAACCTGTCGATATGTGTACCTTGAGGACCAGAGTTAGAAAAACCCTGATCTAAGATGGTAGTCAAATATTTCTATTTTACAGTGTTGTTCAGTTGGTTCCTTCTGCGATTTTCTTAGGTGACTAGTTTACTTGAGTCAGGGTAGATGTTTTTTTCTCATGTCCCTACACTTTCAGTACCAGCTTGTTCCTTTTGGGCCCTCCTTCTGGATGTGTGGAATGCACATACTGAATATTCTCATCCTGCACTTTGTTTCTATGCTTTTCTACCTTTATCTTAAAATTTCCAGCTCTTGTGGGGGTTCTCCAGGAGGGGCATTGGCTTTTGTTAATATCCCCATTCTGGCAAGCAAAGATTTTGTTTCCTCTGCTGCACAGACTTTGCTCTGGCTTGCTGGTGTGCCATTCCTCCAGGGCAAATCTCCTCTCCTAACTGTGGGGTCTGCTTTCAGCTAAGGTTTTGGCCACAAAACACAGGTTAGTGACCACAAAAATCTGACAGGGGATGATTATGAACGGGTGAGTAACTAATCTGGTTTTACAGTTCAGTCCGTGCCTAGAGAACGAGGTTGATTCACCTGGTCGCAACAGACACTGCCAAAGAGTTCCAGATGCTGAAGACTTGAAGGCTATAGAACTTGCAGTACAGTAGGTCAGACCAAAGCGGATGGAAAAAGGCAGGATAATCCAGGTTGAAGAACAACTATATTTAATAAATTAAATATAGTTGTTGTAAGTAAGAGTAACTCTAGCGATCAAGTCAGTGTTGTTTTTTTTCTGATCCTGACCTGTTTTCTGCTTTGGATATTCAAGTTTTTGCCTTGTCTTTGTCTGCTCTGTCTGTTTTTGACTTTTTTTTGTTTTTCCTGGTTACCGATCCTGGACTGTTTAACTGACGGATTCTTCCCACGGACACTGTTGCTCACTCAGAGTCAGCTGGCGTCAGCTTATCTGCACCCTGGGTTCTGGAAGCAGCCATGGCTGCAAACGATAGACTAAACTTTGACCTCTGGTCAGTGAATTTTGCTCCAAGTCCTGATCAGCCCTACATTCCCGTCACTGCCCTGTGTTTCCTATCTCTGCAGAGTATCTGCGATGCTGATTCCCAGCCACTTGTTGTAATTCTGCTGTTTGTTATAAATAAATCCTGTTGAAAATCGTCCTGGTCTGTCTGTCTGATTATTGGGTCCTAGTTTCTGAGGACATTGCAAGGTTCATTTTAGTTACTTAAACTAGAAGGAGCAAATCAGACTATCTGCAAATCAATGAAGAGAGATGCATGCAAAGTTAAGTGTTTTACCTAAGCTAATGGCTCCCAGACCTGTTTCAGACCGTTCAATAGTTCGAATAAATGTTTGCTCACATCATTCAACCCCCTCTTTTATTTGATCCTCACTTAGGCTCACCTCCATTAACTTTTCTCTCCTAAAGGAATTTTTATCATAATTAAAAGAAATCATTCTTCTGCAAATCCATTTGTTTCTCTGGAAATGGATTTAGTGTTATTCCCCCTGACAAAGCCTTAAAGCTGCTTTGGTTATCTCTTGACAATGTAGACAAACAGTGCATGTGGGAAGTGTGAGCCTAGCTTACAGTGTGTGTAGGCAGTGGCATAGGACAAAAAAAGAGCTAGGCCTTTTTGCACATAATAAAATTCAGAAATTCCTAAATTTTAATCCCTCTGCATGTTAGGAATCTGCCAACACTCATTGTAATCATACTTTGTGTAATGTCTGTATCTGTTTTTTTTTAGTAATAGAGATAATACATTATTGAACATCATAAACCCTAAAATATCTTTTTTTTAATAGATCCAAAGGAAACTAATTTAGAGGTTTAATTAGGGTCATGTTACTGCATTAAGATTTTTTTATTTGACATTAATGTTTTTATTGTACGGTAACTATTTTCAAAATTGTTTTAAGTTGTTGCGATTTCAAACTATGTTTAATCATTAGAGTAATGCAAGTGTCAGAAAAGCATATGATATAATACAATATAAACCTGCTCCCCTTTTCAGCAAGAGGGTTATTCACAGTATATTAGCTGTTCCTAGGTCTGAGCTCCTCTTGACTGAGATGCTTAATG